GTCTACAGCTAAACACTTCCTTCCTGCGGAGAGCTTCATTCCGCTGACCTTTGATGTGCCATTCTAGAACATCCAGTACCTCCTCTACAGACAACAAAGACGTCGGGGGCACTTGCAACGTGTGTTCCAACACATGCTGCGTTCCCAAAGATAGGCACATATTTAGCTGAATGAGTTGTTTAGGCTGTGGCAAGCTCTGGAGATCCACCATTGTAGCATAATCAGTCCACCGTCGCCACCACTCACGAAAAGTCTGGAAAGTCTCATCAGGCTTCAAGGTGGGTGGGGGTTGGACAACCGCTTTGGCAGAAGGCGTTGACAAGGTATCTGAGCCAGTCGATACTTGAGCAGTGGAAGGGCCAAGGGCTTGATTAGCAGTGAGGCTAGATATCAAAGCTGCAAACCGTTTGTTATCTTCCAATCTCCTTTGGTAGTCCTCAGCACGTCTTCTCGCTTCGTCCTCACGCCTTTCCTCCCTCATAAGCTTCATCAGAGCAATTATCTCTGAGGACGAGGCTGAGGGTCGAGGGGTGTGGCTGGGAGATGTGTTGGGAGAGGGTAAGGCATCGCGCTCTGACTGGTCATCCATCTCTGTAGAGCTGTCATCCGTCTGACTCATACGGGCGCTAGGGACACCCCTGCTTGAGGCCCAGGGCATAATTACTTTATCTGTATATCGTATCTCAAATCAGTGTTGACCGGTCAGCCCGTCGTATCAACCAGATCCGAGACAACAAAATTAATTGAATACACAGATAAGTAACTTATATATATATAAAATATATATGAAGAAATGACCGCAGTCGGTGTGTCCGTCCGTGAGTTAGTGTGTGCGTAGGTGGGCGGAGCGCAGTGGGAGGCGGTGGGGGGTGAGCAGTGGGGGGTGAGCGTTAGGAGGGTGAGTTACCCTCGAGGCAGCCGGGGACGGACGCGCTGACACACCACTCCTCACAAATGCCCTATACCAGCCTTCCACCTTAGGGAATCCTTTAAAACAAGGACACACACTTTAGCAGTACACACACAAGGGGCACTTAAGACACTTCACAGGAACTTGCAGTCACTGCACACTGCTCAAAACTCGTTGGTCATTCAAACAAATTTTTGTGGGAGACAATGCGAGATTAGGAGAGCGACGGGTGATGGAGTGAGTTGACAGAGCGGGGTCTACCGGTCTTGATTTTACACGAACGCACTTACTTCCAATTAATCGATCACGTGATACTCACTGCGCAATGGAGATGTTCAGGGTACTTGATTCTAACTACAGGAGCGAACATAAACACCTGTAGAGTTCTGTAGATTCTATTCAACGGAAATATACAAGGTGCGCTTACAAGCGCAGGTAGTCCCTACACTCCTATATGGGTCAACTGACCTCTCTCTGACCTCTCAGGCGACATGTGGTAAGTGGTACATTAGCAGCTTCCAGATGTCGCCAGGCACATTTATCTAAGCGTGTGGTGACATGAAATAGGGGCATTGCCACACACTACTGACTAGAGAAGTAATGTATATATATACAGTACATACATGGTATACATACAACATACATAATATATACATACACAAGTCCTGCAGGAGCTTCTTGTGCTGTTCCCTCTGCATTACCGTGCGATCTGGGTGAATGAATACATCCCGAAATGCTTCGCTCCTTGCTAAGTTTTTTGCCTGCCGAATATCCTGCCATTTCTCCTCCTCACTCACTAGTGTGATCTTGAGGGGGCGAGGCTTAGCCCCCTGCTTTTGTCCCAGTCTCCTCACATGCTGAGGGGTTGATGGAATCTTCAGAACCTCTGTACAAATATTTTAAAACAGCATCTTATCGTGTGTTTCCTTACTCACAGTTCCCTCCACCTGGCTCTCTGGGACTCCAAAAACTATTACATTGTTCCTGCGCTGGAGACGTTCCTGGTGTTCCTCCTCTCCCTTAACAGTAGGTCCGTTAATATTCATTTCTTCGACACACTTCTTCAAAGTCCCAAGCTGTTGTAGAACCTATTCTGATCCTGCATTACTCTCCGCCCCCTCCCGTGGCCCTGCTAATGCATCAGCATAACTCCTCTTAGCAATCACCTCCTTTCTATCGGCTACTTCCTCAGTCTTAGCAAGGATCTCTTTCCCAACTAGCTCTAGTTTGGCAACCAGCAGGGCTCCAGCTTCATCTATTTTCGTCCCTAGAGAACTCGTTCCCTTATGGCTTGCAATCACTTCATTCACCTTGACTATGCAGCCAGGGCAATACCAGCAACAGCCATCATACTTTACTGCAGTTAGTAACTTCCTAAACGTTGCATTAGTCAGGCCTGTATCCTCCATATGCGACGTCTCCCTGCAGTAATCACATATCAAACTCATGGTTGTTGTTGTGGGGGTGGGGAGGGGGGTGCAGACTGTGTATAGATCTACACCTATTTAAAAAAGTAAAGAGAGAAAAAGTACTTAGCTACTCTCTGTTGCCTATAGAGTTGTCGTCTGTGACTGCGTACACTGTATCTCCCTGTGAATGGTGTATTGTAGGCACAGTTTCAGTCCTTGAGAAAGCACACAAACATAATAAAATTTAAAGTCTCTGTGGCACCTATGACACGACTTGGTTTTAGCTGGCACGATGCCTTTCCAGCTTGCTTGCTAGTGAGCGCTCACTTTAAGTTATTTACAACTTCCGCGGTCACTGATGACACTATGAACTATCACTGTGTACACTGTATCTCCCTGTGAGTGGTGTATTATAAACACAGCTTCAGTCCTTGAGAAAGCACACAAACAAAATAAAATTTAAAGTCTCTGTGGCACCTATGACACGAATAGGCTGGCAGTTGTCCTTACCAGCTTGATTGCCAATATGAATTCACTTTAAGTTATTTACAGTCTCTTCTGCGGTCACTGATGACACTATGAACTGGTTTACCTAAAATCACAGTACTACACT